CCTCATTCTTGAGGCTCCGCGCCAGGAAGTGCTCTGCCACGTGGGCGGGCAGCACGTTCTCCAGCAGCACCCGGTTGAGGTTCTCCATGGTCTCGATCTCCTCCCGTTCTTTCCTGAACTTGGTCTTCCACAGGAAGTCCAACCTACAGTAATATTCATTCTGTTACAAGAGGACACAGAGGTAAAGACACAATAGGCACCTTGTCTCGCAGAGAGGGCGGTTTCAAAGAGAACAAACAACGTGAACCAACCCAAACGAAACAGAGCCCCACGGCATCGCCAGCACCCTTCCAGGCCCCTGCCCGGCCCCCAGGAACCCCCCCCCCACCCCAGCCTCTCGCATCCACTGCCAAATACACCCAAATAGCAGCAAGGAGAGCCAGCCTTCTCTCCTGGAGGTGGGCGCAAAAATGACGGGGGTTCCCTGCAGCGGAAAGGGTGAAGATTTTCTACTTTGAAAGAGGGCAGAGTGGAATAGAAATGGTGAGTACATGACAATCCGAGGCCGCGGCAGAGGTGGCCAAGCCGACTGGCTCATGTATCAGGACAGCCTGCGGCCGGGCCGGCCTCCCCGAGCTGCGACCAGCTTCTGCTGGACGGGCGGTGGCATGAAGTGTTCGTGTAAAACATGCTTCATTCCCCATCGTCTGGGATTCTCAGCATCCTGAGAGGACGCTCCGCCGTCAGACAGAACTCATTTAGCTATCATTTAATTAAAAGCCAGCCTGCCAGGAAGATCACACTTGTCCACGCTTCATAAACGAGTACATTATTTCCCCTAAGCAGATCTTGTCTGGAGGCTAGCGACAAGAAGCTGTTCTGCAATCCTGAAGGCACGTGGTTCAAATCTACCAGCTGCTCCACGGGAGACGGATGGGTAGTCTCCTCCCATGTGATGAACTGTCTCTGAAAACCCACTGGAGGGTCAGCTAGGGGTCAGTTTCGACACTATGGTACACAACAACAAATCCACCAGCTGCTCCATGGGAGAAAGACGGGCATCAACTCCCGTGTGATTTACTGCCTCTGAGAATCTGTAGGAGCAACAACAACAACAAAAACAACAACAACACAATGGTGGCAGCCAGGGGGACATCTGTGCTGACTCACAATAGCTACATTTACTTTCCGATTTCACTCAACACTGAATTCTTTGCTGCCTTGAATTTTATCTTGCAGCTATACATTTTCAGTAACAGAAGACATGCTGGGTATGAGTCTTTTTAGATGACACGGATTTTGACACTACTAGTGGGACGCACTTGTCTCATGGGGTTGCTGGGACTGGGGTGAGGCCCATTCCTGAAGGCTCATGCAGCTGGACGGGCCCCCGCCAGAGGGCAGCGCACATTACAGTGGGACCAGACTGTCCACCCAGCACCAGAACATCAGGGCACACCGGTGGGCACTGTGTGTCCCATGGGGCACGAAGGGGCTGCAGGAAGGGACGCGTCTGCACCTCTGCCATTCAGAGCCTGCCTCCCAGGGGGACACGGAAGGACGTGTCCTTCAGCAGAGCTGCTGACTTCGCTCCGGAGAGCGAGGCAACTCTCCAGCACACAGCCTCGTGGAAGCAGCTGCCATGCACATGGATAAAGCCCTGAGAGGGGACCAGGCTGCGGCTACGTACCTGACGGCCCAGAACAAGCAGTGTGACGAAGAAGATAGAGAGAGACACGGAGCCCATGATCTTTAGGTCTTTCCAGATGCCTGGTCTACTGAAACAAAAACAGACAGACAGACAAAAGGGCCAGTACAGGCACTTGAGGCTTCGGGCTCGGCCACCAGACGACCAGGTGGGCCACGGCAAGCCCACTCCTGTACCAGCCAAACACGCACACAAATGAGTGCTCCAATCACATCTGCAAACCCAGCTGCATCGCCCAGTCCATGGCGGGGGCACTGCCTCCCCGCGGTGTGGGGGAAACAGCCAGCTTCACAGAGCAACAGGGGGCCAAATGCCAGCAGGGGCCATAATGAGGCCCGGGGACATCGCCTGTCCACCATGCTCGGGGCCCTGGAGTGACAGGTCCTTGTGCCCGGGGCGGCGAAGGGAACAATCGTTCTGGCCCTGGAGTTGCACAGCCAAGTGGGCCAGCACTGTGGGGGCTGACCTGGAGAGGGGGTCTCTGAGCAGCTCAGAGAGGGGAGATGCGCTCATTTCCCCCTGGAGAGGAAGGAGTCCAGGTGAGAGGATCCAAGTCGGTCCTATTTGAAACTTCTGATACGTTTATAACAGGGCGCTGTGGTGGCTGAGTGGTAAGGAACCGCACTGCCAACCCAAATGCACAGGGTTCAAACCCACCAGCTGCTCCGTGGGAGAAGGATGGGCAAACTCTTCTCCTAAGATTTACTGCCCCTGAAAAGCGGCTGGAGGGCCAACCATGTGAATCTGCACAGCAGAAGGAAGCACTCAGCCCCGCGCACTGCCCACTGTCAGCTGCAGGGCGGTCATCACCAGCTGCTTTTTGGAAGGACGTCACCAAGCCTTTGTTCCTGGTCCATCACAGTTTGGAAGCTGCACGGAAACCTGTTCAGCATCTGACCAACTGACCGGAAGGGATCCATATTTATTCCAACCTCCCAAAAGGTGACCAGACTGAGGGCGGCAATTATTGAAGAATATCATATACAAGCGAGACCCTGAGGAAGATCATCGAAAGCTGGCTGGAGCAGTACGTTAACAGACTACCAGGACTAGACGTGGGGTCTGGAAGAGGCTATGGCCCTAGAGACATGAACGCCAATGCCCTCTGGATCTTCCCTGAAAACCAAAGAGAACCAGAGCAATGTCTCTCTGTGCCTCTTTGACTATGCAGAGGCAACTGACTGTGTGGATCACAACCAGTTGTGGCTAATCTTGAGAAAGGGAATCCCAGAACACTTGACTGTGTTTATGCAAAACCTAATGTTGGATCAGGAGGCAGTCGTCAGCACAGAGCAACGAAACAATGCATGTTTCAAAACTAGGAAGGGAATGTGTCAGGGATGCGTCCTGTCTCCATACTTTTTCAGTCCGCATGCGGGACAGATCATTCAGGAGGCTGGACTTTATGAGGAGGAGTGTGATAACGGGATTGGAGGAAGACTCGCCGACAATCTGTGTAATGCAGATCATACAACCCTGCTTGCTGAAACTGAGGAGGACCTGAAGCACTTGCTGCAGAAGGTCAAGGACTGCAGAGTTCAATAAAGATTGAAGTTTAATATCAAGAAGACAAAGATTCTCACCACTGGGCCAATTGTCAGCACTATGATGTCTGGAGGAGAGAGTGAGTTTGTTACCAATTTCAGCCTGCTAGATTCCACAATCACCATTCTTGGCACCAGCAGTCAGGAAATTAAAAAAAAATGGATTGCATTGGGGAAGTCTGCTGTCAGGGACTGCTCCAAAGTGCTTAAGAGAAATTATGTCAGTCTAGAGATTAAGGTGCACCAGATCCAGACCATGGTCTTTGCAATTACTTGCTATGCATCAGAGAGCTGGACAACGGCTAAGGACGACTGAAGAAGAATTGATGTCTTTGACCTGTGGTGCTGGACAAGAGTCTCGAACATACCATGGACCACCAAGAAAAGAAATTAAGTCTGTCTTGGAGAGGATGAAACCAAGTTTCTCCCTGGAGTCTAGGATTGTGAAGCTCTGTCTCACATACTTTGGGCATGTAACCGGGAGCGATCAGTCCTTAGAGAAGGACATTATGCTTGGAAGGGTGGAGGGACAGACACGAGAGGAGGACCCCAGAGGAGATGGACTGATACAGTAGCTATGGGATTAGGTGTGTCAGTCAGTGAGATGGCTCAGGACAGGGCAGAGTTTAGAGCTGCTGTGCACAGGGTCACTATGATTCACAGGTGACTTGATGGCACATAACAACAACAACAACAACAGGCAATGATTAGTAACAAATGGACATCATTTTGCAACTTGATTCAAGACATTATTATTATTCTGCTACAAATGCTCGGAAGTGTTTGCTTAATGTTTACATGGGACAGCACAAGCTGTCCCACGAGGAGGAGAGGTAAGCTCGGGGGCGGGGGACCGGGGAAGCCCAGAGAGGCTCGCTGTGTTCTCAGGACTGGGGTTACCTGTCCCCTCAGTTCCAATGACTCAGAACAGCTCACTGTGTTTACAGAGCTGGGGTCACCTGTGCCCAGTGCTTCCACTGACCCAGGGAAGTTCACTCTGTTCTCAGGGTTGGGGTCACCTGTCCCCACAGTCCCACTGGTCCAGAGAGGCTCGCTGTGTTTTCAGAGCTGGGGTCCCTGTCCCCCGTGGTCCCACTGGCCCAGAGAGGCTTGCTGTGTTACACTGTTACCTGTGTCTGGAAACACTAGCCATTATGGAGTTGAGCTATAACAATAACAATAACAATGATAATAATAATAAAAAAATAGTTACAGTATTATTGTGTCCAATCACATCAACTGTCACTGTGTCACCTGCTTCCAGAAATACAAAGTGCTACAGCAAACTGGCTTTTAGCAACATCACCTGCTACAATGTCACCTGCTTGGACTACATCCGCCATTAATATCACCAACTGCTGACATCGACCACCACAGCCGCCCTGGCGGTTAAAGTGTCCACTTGGCGAGGACGGTGTCCTCAGCGGAGCCGGCTCAGGGCTCTGGTCAGGTACTGGAAGAGCCACTGAGTGATTGTGTGAAACATCCACAATGTGATGACTGGTAAGGATTCTCACAGGGAACAGCTTGTCCAGGACCCTCTAGTCCAGGATGGCTGTGTGGTCCATCAAGGAGAGGTGACCGATCAAGCCCAGGCCTCGGACAGGGACGCGTCCTGGGGGCCACTAGCCTCCGGCTAATGGGTTTTAAACAGCCCGCTTTCTGGGGGCTGGGGGTGTGCTTTCTCTCTTTCCTTGGAACACATGCTCCCACTTCCTGAATCTGTCCTGACATGACTCTCTATATTATTCATGGACCTGTTTTCCAAACTTTACATTGTTTTTCTGCTAAAAATGCCCTGGTCTGTGCCCTCTTCCTCACGTACGCATCTGAGTGTTACGTCTAAGGGACGTGTAGACAAAGCCTAGTCTGAGTTCCCGGCTCACAGAGCCCAAGGGCCAGCGTCTGGGGCTCTACAAGCCTCTGTTAGACCTGTCAGCCTGTCTCCTCTATGACCTCGCGTTCCCTCCACAATAAGGGACACCTACAGACTGGGGAGACCAGTTAGGGCCATGGGACAGGGAAGCAGTGATCACAAGCCCCCTTTACCGGGCCATAGCCTTGGGAGTCGCCCCGACTTTGGTTATGATCCATGTCACAGTGGCCCCGAGACACTAACTGTAGGTGAGAAGCCTTATGTATGTGACGGAGGAGAACGTGGGGCGTGAGAAGAAGAGAAAGCAAAGCCAGCTGGTGGGGGTCGTATGCTTCAACCAGAACAGGGGTTTGCTGAGGGGGGGAGGGCAGCGCTGTGTCACGAGCTGAAGAAGAGCACAGCTTCGCGGCCCCGTGAACGACTCATCGCCCCACCTGGTCCTGCCGTCCTCACCGTCTCCCCCCCGTCGATCGGCCACTCAGCCTCTGCTGGAGGCTCTGCCTCCTTCTCCCTCATCCCAGCACGGTGTCCTCCTCGAGACTGGCCCCTCCTTACAATACGCCCCCGATCTGGGAGACGCCGCCCACCAGCCGTGCCTCTAAGGGGCGCCCGGGCTGCACTGCTCAGCACACTGGTTTGCCCTGTGGCAGTTCCTGGGACAGTCGGCACTCTCTAGCCAGCACGCAGCTCAAAGGCCTCGACCCCTCTTCTCTCCTCCTCATTTCCCAGCGTTCACACGCATATACGACACATGAAAATGCCGTGGCTTAGCTGGGATAGCACAGGGATACTTTCCAAGCACAAAAGAAAATATTCATGACAAATGCTGGGGAGTAATTCGATCCCAGGACCCCTGCCAGAGAGCGAGGGGACCCTTGCAGCGTCCAGCCCTCCTGTCACGAGGGGGACCTGGGCGGCCATGCCGCAGCAGCCAACTTCCCACAGAGCAAGGGACGATCCAGGACCGCACCCCGATGGTATCTGAGGATTCCTCTAGTCATAAACTCAGCACCCCAAGTCGTCAATGCCACAACTTCTTTCCCCATCATGTTACTGTATGTCTGAGACTTGGTAGTTCTGACCGGGGGCACCTGTGCTCCGAGAAGACGGCAGGTAATATTTTGGGGACACTGTTGTCATCTCCTGGGTGGAAGCAGGGAAGGTGTTAAACACTCGGCAGGACACCGGGGGGCACCCCCAGCCCCAGGGAATGCTCCAGAAGGTCCGCAGTGCTGAGGCAGAAGCCCCAGCATCCGTATTCACATCACACGACGTGTAACGCGAATCCGCTCAGCCACTGCACGTCTCCTGCACGGGTCTGGTAACAGATGCTGTACTACCCATCGCAGGACACCTGCCATCTTTATGACCGTCCCCCTCCAAGCGTCTCCCTCACTGGTGCCCAGTGCCTGTCACCGAGGACGCCTCTGCTCTCCTGCACACGTTCTCACCGCATCCCCCCAGGGCGACGGCGGCTGCGCCGCGGGCTTCTTACCTCTGGAACAGCGCCGTGCTGTAGGTGTCCAGCACGTGGGCGTGCGTGTGCAGCAGGATGGTGCTGTAGCCCACCAGGGCGACCACCATGATGAGCATCTTCAGCTCGTAGTTGACCCGCAGGAAGACGGAGCAGGAGATGAGTCCCAGGACGCAGCTGTAGATGTAATACTGCAACGGCAGAGAGGACAGACGCGTCAGGGGCGGACGGGAGACACCCTGCCAAGACCCGAGCAGTGGCCGCCTCTGTCCACTGTGCAGCCTGGAGCGGCTGGACATGGCATCAGGAGCTGACGGGAGACACTCTGCCCCAAGACCCGAGCAGTGGCGGCCTCTGTCCACTGTGCAGCCCGGAGCAGCTGGACACGGTGTCAGGAGCTGACGGGAGACACCCTGCCAAGACCCGAGCAGTGGCCGCCTCTGTCCACTGTGCAGCCTGGAGCCGCTGGACACAGTGTCAGGAGCTGACAGGAGAAACTTTGCCCCAAGACCCGAGCAGTGGCTGCCTCTGTCCACCGTGCAGCCTGGAGCCGCTGGACACGGTGTCAGGAGCTGACAGGAGAAACTCTGCCCCAAGACCCGAGCAGTAGCCGCCTCTGTCCACTCTGCAGCCGGGAGCGGCTGGACGTGGATGGCACTCTCACACACTGACCCCGCGGCAAGCGCCTGACCTCATCACGTTCAGAGGATACTCGCCCCGGTGCCTGACCAGCCTGGCATGCACTCACAGCCTTGCCCCAAACCAGTCTGCAAAAATCATCTCCATGGGAAACTCACTTTTCAATCACTTGCTATGCATCTGAGAGCTGGACAATTTACCAGCATGACAGAAGAAGTGATGCCTTAGAGCTGTGGTGCTGGAGAAGAGCGCTGAGCGTCCCATGGACGGCCAAGAGGTCAGACAGGTTATGTCCTGGAGAGGGTGCAGCCGGAGTGCTCCCTGGAGGCACGGACGGAGAAGCTTCACCTCACTACTTTGAAGCGTGTTGCTAGGAGAGCTTATACATCATCCTTGGAAAGGTGGAGGGTCGGTGAAGGACAGGTGGGTTGACACGGCGACTGCAGCATTAGGCTCGAGTGTGTCCGAGATGGTGAGGCTGACACAGGATAGGACCGAGTTCAGGAGTGTTGTTCACAGGGTCGCTGTGAGTCAGACTCAACTTGACAGCACCTAACAACAACACCACTGGAAACCCAAGATCATTGTTGTTGAGTTGGAACAAACACACAGCTGACGTTCCACTGGGTTTCTGTCCTTCAGGAGGACATGGCCCGTCTCTGTCCCTGGAGCTGAGTGGACCTGAGTGACCAGAGAAGCGTGACCTTGGGACCAGGAATGCAATTCCCTATGGACGATGTCACCAGAGCTCGCCTTGTGTAAAATAAGACGGTGTGATCTTTACACGGTTAGGGATTCCCTTTTCCTGTAGTGTAGACAGATGCTCTTCACACTCACTGTGCTTCCTCGATGGTGCGTACTTCCCGAGCGAGTGTGTGCGCTGACCCCACCTCGGGGAAGGCCGTTGCTGCGCCTGGGAGTCGGAGCCCACCCAGAGCGGACCCTCCAGCGGTTTTCTGGGTGGTGAATTTTCTGGGTGAATCGCATTGGGGGAGACTGAAGTGCTGGGGCACGGACGGCACTGGCACCCTGGCGTCCTCTCCATGACTCGCTCAAGGCTGTCACACACGCAGCAGAGGGCAGTGCAAGGTGCGTGGCATCTTCCCAGGCACCGGGACCAGCGTGCATGTCACACCCTGGGCTTTTCTGCAGCGACCGGAACTGGACCTGCATTGTCTCCGCGGTGCGCCTGTGATTCTCTTGCCATGAAGACCGGGGCCTTCCAAGGCCAGCGCTTCCTGACTGGGTGACCGGATCTGAGTGGCCCTGGGCTCCAAGGCTTGGGTCACACTCCAGGAAGTGGTTTGTTCTACACATGAGCACGAGGGACCTTCTGCACTGTGGTGACAGTGTTTGGGGGCACTGAGGGATGCCAGCACAATTCCTGTGCCCAGGGCTCGTCACACTTCTTGATGGCCAGCGGAAGTCACCACCGAGCACAGCGTGAGCACAGCATCTCCGAGAATCCAACGTGGAGGGGCCAGGAGAGGCAGAAATCAAGCCGAGGTGGAAAACCAGCAGGGATCTCTGGGTCACCACGTGCCAGCCTGCAGTCCACACTCGCTGACCAAGCTTGGACATGCCAGAGCTCGGGGGCTGAAACAAACCACGTGCTGGGAGCACCCACAAAGCTGCTTCCCTGGGGTTCCCTTGGATCTGCTGAGATGGAAACAGCGTGCGCCCGGGACGCTCTCGGGGTTCCTTGTCTCCCCAGGCTGATGGAGCAGTTTCCGAGGACACCTCCGGCCCCCGAGCACGGTCAGGTGGGAGCTGTGAGGAAGAATTGCGGGGCAGCGGTGGCCTGCCCACTCGATTCTACCCAGCCGGATGCGGACGAGCCCATTCTGTGTTTTTTTCTGAATCATGTGAGGCTGAGTCAGCCCCCCTTTTCCCATCTTGGACTTCTGTCTTTATTGAAAGTTCGTGATACACAGACTTCGAGACAGAACTTCTTTCATCACGGCCATTAGTGGGGTCACACCTGAGGCCCCGAGTTCTTTGCAAACACCAGGAGGTCCTTCACTAGCCACGCTTTCTTCTCATTTCCTTGTGAGAATGCCCCTTTTAAGTTCCTCCAATCACAGGTGTGTGAATGTGGGTGAGGACTGACCCACTGGACCCGGGCCCCCCACTGCCCAGCCCAGCACCATCCACGGCTTCTGCTGTCGTCTGTCCGAACCCGGAGACTCAGGCAGGGCCATCAACGCCACCCTCCTTTGAAGAGGCTACAGAACTCCCCACGGGAGGTGCCAGCCGGCACACCCTCGTCTGACCACCTCCTGCTCCGAGTCAGAAAGCATCACGCCTGGGCCTCCCCAAGCAGCCCTCGTGGTGCAGTGGTTAAGTGCTGGGCTGCTACCTGGAAGATCGGCAGTTCAAAGCCACCCAGTGGTCTGTTCCTGTAAGACGGCGGCTTTGTTAGGTGCCAGCGAGTCAGCTACGACTCACAGGGTCCCCGTGAAAAGCAAATGGGACCGTGCCTTCCTGTGTCACCCTCACGGCCTCCACCACACTCACACCAGGTAGCAGGTGTGTGGCAACAGCGTCTGTGACCTGCGGGGCCCGTCTCCCAGCATGCACCAAGTGTTGCTCTGTGACCTGCAGGGCTCGTCTCCCAGCATGCACCACGCGCTGCTCTGTGGTCAGTCACTGGTTTATGTCAGCAGTGCGCGGCCAGTCATGCTCCTTAGACCCAGTTCACCCAAGGACACACCGCTGCTATCTGAAGTCCCTGAGAGGTAGCTTTCAGCATGACAGCAATGCACAGACCAGCAGAGTGCAGCCCACGGACGGCTGAGGGGACGCTAGGGACAGCTGTAGTAGAGGTCCTGTGAGCTGGAACAGACTGCCTGGCACGCGTGCCACCACCCACTATGTGACTGTTGAGGCCACACCACGCGGTCTCAAGGCTAAGGGACAAGGGCTGAGTGGCGTCCTCATTTCTGAGCCCGTGGGGACAGCACTAATGGCCGTGGGCACCTCGCCCCCAAACCTTGTGTGGCCTCAGAAACCTTAAATCAACCTCAGGGAAGCTCTCATCCCCTGGAGTCGGTAAAGGGAAGAAAAACGGGCAAAGAAATCAGTCAGTAAAGGGAAGAAACAGGAGGAAAGAAATCAATCTTCAGAGAGACCTGGGGCTCAGTGGTTAAGTTCTTGATGGCTCACTGAAGGTGGGTGGTTCGAATCCACCACCAGCTAAGCTGAAGGAAGACCTCGTGACCTGATCCCACGAAGATCGCAGCGTAGGAACCCTATGGGGCCGTGAGCTCCTGCTGTGGGTCCTGTAGGCCAGCAGGGACGTGAGGGCGACACCAGTGCTGTGGGACACGGAAGGGAAGGAAAAATGCACAGACAAGGTTCCATGTTGGGTTCCCAAAGGCCTCAGTGCTCTCAAAACTGTGGGTGTACGCGGGACAAAACCCAAAGGGGAGGGGCTCATGCCCCATTGGGTGGCCCCCCAGCAAACACCCAGACAGGGTCAAGGCCCAACACTGCTCCCCACAAACACCCGGACAGTGTCAATGTATAACACTGCTCCCCACAAACACTCGGACAATGTCAATGTAGAACACTGCTCCCCACAAACACCCGGACAGTGTCAATGCACAACACTGCTCCCCACAAACACCCGGACAGTGTCAATGCACAACACTGCTCCCCACAAACACCCAGACAGTGTCAATGCACAACACTGCTCCCCACAAGCACCCGGACAGTGTCAATGCATAATGCTGTTCCCCACAAACACCCAGACAGTGTCAATGTAGAACACTGCTCCCCACAAACACCCGGACAGTGTAAATGTATAACGCTGTTCCCCACAAACACCCGGACAGTGTCAATGTA